CGATGCGTGAATCGAATGATTCGATGCGTGAATCGAATGATTCGATGCGTGAATCGAATGATTCGATGCGCGAATCGAATGATTCGATGCATCATTCGATTCACGCAACGAAATCGAATGATACGAGAGTCATACTCAAAATTATTTATTTTTGGGGTTTTATATCGTCCACCCAAGCAAGATAATATATAACAGTTATGCTTTGTCCTCAAAATCCCTTGGCAGTTTCGTTCTGATTATAATAGCAATTATTACGGAATATTATGTTTATATCTAGCACTTTGTTCGTTTATATTACTATTTGAAAATGTCCTACCACAAAATATGCGGTTCTGTCGCTCAGCAGAGAACTGACGCATGACACGTCATTTAAAAATATATGACGTTTTATACTTATGATGTCATAACTATTTATGTTTGGGCAACGCGCCACTGAAAATTCGGTTAAGAAATCGCGCTCAATTCTATCTCCTCATAAAACCAGAGGAATAAATAAAATGAACCTATCCGGTAGTCTACCTTGATCAAAAAAACACGAAACTATAACTAGCTATCGCTCAATCAGCTGTTGGCACATCGCCAGATAAAGTGAAACAATAACAGATCACAATGATCTACGTCACAGCGTTACGTTGCTAAGCAGCAACGCATATGTAGTTTCTGTCTAGCTCGCATTTGCTTGCAAATAGACGCGTTTTTCTTCCACTAGCAGTTAAAAAATGACTAAACCAAGGCAATCTCGTGTAAAGGCCATAAAGACATCGTGGGCCGCGTGAGTGTAATTTAATATAATAATATATATTTAATTATGCGATTTATCGAGTTTTAGTTACGGTTGATAATGTATGCGTGTGCTAAAATAATAATCTTGTTACAGTTATGGCACTAGAATAGATGATATACCGAAAACTGGACAGCTGCCAGACTTCTTACAGGTAAGCAGTCATACACTCCAATTCAGGTCTCCGCGTTTCCACTATTGACAATTTCTGTCTATGTAATATGAAACAGAAATTATATGATAAAATGATTATTAATCATTTAGTTAATTACCCATACTATAGCGGCGTCCGCATGAGGCGTTGGTGGTTTTAACCCCATCTCCACAAGATGGTCGTAAATAACCCGTGTTAAAAAAACGTTTAAAAAATTCGCGCTTGTGCGTCACGTGATCGGCGTAATTTTTACTCGTGCAGACGCTCTGATATATATTTTTCACATGTTACGTGTTACATAACATATTACATAATATTATTTTATTTATTATTGTACATGTAAATTTATGCATGCACACTTTCTGCATGTACACCATACACCTACTGAAAAAATCGTCTGATCTGCTTGAACATCTTCGCATTGACGCTAACATCTACGAGAAAGCATACACGTGTATATTTCTGCGTAGGAGTTGTTCAGGCAGCTACGTGAACGCGGTGGCGCCGTTGAGAAAGTGTTCGTGAAGGAGATGACTCGCATTTCGCATATGCGCTACGAGCGGCTAAAGCGCAAGCTCCGCTCTGGAAAAGTGACACCTTTAAGCTCCTACAAGCCGCACATCCTCGCCGCACTGCTAGCTGTAAGTAAACATAAATGTGCGCGCGTGAGTGTGTGCGTGCGTGCGTGCGTGAGTGTGCGTGCGTGAGTGTGTGCGTGCGTGCGTGCGAGTGAGTGAGGGCGCACGCGTGTGATTGAGCGAGGGTATGTGGTGTGTGTGCGCGTGCGTGCGTGAGTGCGTGCGTGCATGTGAGTGAGGGCGCACGCGTGTGATTAAGCGAGGGTAGGGTGTGCGCACGTGTGTGTGTGTGCGCGTGCGTGCGTGCGTGCGTGAGTGTGTGCGTGCGTGCGTGTGAGTGAGTGAGGGCGCACGCGTGTGATTGAGTGAGGGTTTGTGTTGTGTGCGCACGTGTGTGCGTGCGTGCGTGCGTGTGTGTGTGTGTGTGTGTGTGTGCGCGCGCGCGCGTGTTTGTGTGTGTCCGTGTGTACGTGTTTGTGTGTCCGTGAATACGTGCGTATGTGCGTGATTGTGTTGCGTGCGTGCGCGCCTGGATGTATATAGGGAATATCTGCGCGCCATCTATAAATCCCTCTTCGCGTATCGTTTCACAAAACCGCACTTATTTTTACACACGGCAATTTGATTCTTGGAGCTGGTTTTGGCTCATAAATCTTACACGGGCGGACAGAATTAGCTATCGGTGTTACCATATCTCATGCACATTTCACCATATCTCTTGTTGTTTAACCGAACAGAACTGGACAAAGCATCAGCCTGAGGCAATGATGGGCCGGATTCAGGTCTGGTCAGATGTAGTGGATAAGCTAAACGCCTGGCATCAGGCCGGTTGCTACGACGATGTTGAGACATTTGATGCCCTCATCATGGCGATAAAAAGGTAAGGTGAAACTTCAACCATCGCCGCACACACGCGCGGGCTGGCGCGCACGCACGTACGCAGTAAGCACCCACGCTCGCGCACACACAAATACATGCACACGCAAGCGCGCGCGCACATACAACATACACACGCACGCACACAAGCAGCAGAGCGTAGCGATGACGCGAGAGCCACACACGCAGATCTCACGAGCCGGCCACTCACGGGACGGACGCTGGTCACGTGAATAACAATCATCGTCTGTGATTCTTCACTACAGCGTCATATCCGGGTTCCCCGCTGTAATGCAAGCCTTCCTAAAGAGCTTCATCGGTCTGCTTCACACCGTGGGAGTGAAGAACACAAAGCGTACCTTACTCGACGAGCAGCAGCTTGCAGGTGAGTCATCCTCCCTAATTACCCATCCTTCTTCTCCCACGGATACTTTTTGAAGCCACACGTGTCAACAACTAAAGGAACTAAAATCCTGCGAATACACTCCGCTAAACGCAGTTGTCGTCAGAGATGAGTCGACTACGTACGCAGATGTCTATTTTCGTGCTCTGTCTACGGTTGTAGCTGAACGGATGTTTAGTTACAAAGCGCGCTAGCTACCATTCTACAATGATCAGCTAGCTGTTCGCGTCACTAGGGCAAAGCAGGCAACGTTTTCAAGGACCACCGTGTAAATGAGTGTACATTTTGGGCTCATCCTTGGTAACAATCTAGCTGCATATTTTATGTATGTATTGTTTGTAACGTAGGCATAGGTAATTGCCTGAGTAAACATATAAAATTAAACGTGGCGTCACGGGATGACCATATTGCATAGGTTGCCTGGGACCAGTTCTCTGGAATGCCAAGCAAATCAATAAGGAAGCTGCTAAGCAGGCGAAGAAGAAAATCAAGAAAAAGGAAAGCAGACACAAATATATGATAGATGAGGAACAGTGGGCAGCCGCAGAACGACGCGTGCAGATATTGGAGGTGGCGATCCAGTATGCAGACCGCATCTTTGACTTGGAGAGCAACTGTGAGCTCGTAGATAATACTGGTGAGTACGCTGACTTATTGTAAGTAGAAAGCGCCTTCCACGTAAATTTTAGCTAAGGTCGACTGTGCACGCGTTTGTGATACAGTGTTCCCCACCTTATCCAGGTCCCAGGATAAACGGGCAGCATCGCTTAAACGACATATGTCGCTGAATAACAATACTGGCGTACGCTGTTGTTTTCACCTCGGGAGCAGCTATTAACCATGACATTTTCATGGTTTCCGACTTGTCCAGATAAAGCGGAGGCCACTGTGCTTGTCTTTTCCCCGTCACAGTCGAACCGTGTGTAATCACGTTTCCCCATCACAGATATAATACCCACCTGGCTGCGCATAGACTCCAAAATCCAGCTAAAGTTAGGAAAGCCTCTAAAGGCCACGAATAAGTTACTAGATGTCACCGGTCTGCCTCCACACTCCAATGCACCTGCACGCAAGCGCATATCCTTGCTTGCCAGAGGCCGGAGAAAGGTCGTCGCACCGACCTCTGTACCGAGGGAACACATGGAAGTCAGCAATGAAGTCCTTCCCCCCAATAAAGGTACGTGAGACCTATCTTTGCTCACAACGTCCAGTCATTGTAGGTTATCAGCTAACTACTGAAGCTCACATCTACGCAAGAATCATTCGATGCTATCATCGGTCCACAACGTCATTGCTGCCAAAGAATTGCTGGCAGTAGAATATAAACTACTGAATTTCGTTCCTGGTAATTTGCTAAGAAAATTTTTCTTTCCCCGAATTCACAGGAAATATGACTGTCCAGGATTTGGAAGAGGCAGGCAAAGTGGCAGCAGACGTCCCTGGCTCTGTGCAAAACTTGGTAGTGACAGCAGACGTCCCTGGCTCTGTGCAAAACTTGGTAGTGGCAGCAGACGTCCCTGGCTCTGTGCAAAACTTGGTAGTGGCAGCAGACGTACCTGTCCCTGTGCAGGAGCAGTCGGTAAGCTTCAACGAAAAATTCCCTCAATGGTCGTTCATCGGAATACGATAGCAGGGACGGACTCATGTAACCCTGCTGCGCTCAGTAACTATATACCATGCCTATTTGTCAGCTATTGATTATGAATTTCGTAGCTGAGACAGGTAGTAGTGATATTGGTGCTTCTTTTATAGGCCCCTGAAGAAACGCCATGTGAAAGTACGGTGACGCCAGCTGCCGAGGAAAAGAAAGGCAAGAAAGCATCTAGGCTGCGGAACTTAAAATGCATGTTCACTTGTTTTGGAAGATTGGTTACCGTGGAATGCTGTCACTGAAAACCTTCTACGATAAACTCCCCAGTAGATGCTTGTTTCGTTTATACTAGGAGCGGGAGGTGGGTGGTTAACAAAATTGGTGCGTATGGTTGCCTGCGTTATATGGGTAGGGGAAGAAAACGTAATAAAAATGGAAAGTGCAAACGAGGTGAGAACGAAACTGAAAATGCGTGGACGAGTGTACACGAAAAATGAAGAACAAAGTTCAGATTAAATTTTTTTCATTAGGCACTCCACAGCTTCTTCAAAATGGCAGGATCGAGGCAGCATGGCGAGAATTACTGGTAGGCCTGCCGACTGCAATTCTCTAACCTAGCTAGATTCAGTGATTTTTGGAGGTAGATTGTTCCACGGATTGTTGGCATCCTTCTGTCTCGGGAGACAATGGAGATCTGCACCATAGTTTTAGTCTATTGTTGAGATGCAGCGCCTGCTGTGGCTGTATAGTCCGATCCGGGATCGTCAGATTCTATTGCAGTTGCTGCAGGTGAAGTCCGTACCTGGCTCGTTGGGTGCTGATGCTGCCCTCTGCCGTCTGCGCTCTCTCATCTCTTCCCACAGCTCCTCTCTCCTCTCCTCATTCCTTTTGATCCCTGCCTTAACAGCAATTTTCCAGCTGTTGCGATCAGCGGCAACAGTCTCCCAGCCTGCTGTGTCCATGTCCCTTCCTTCATGTCCCGCCTGTAGACATCTTTGTAACGTAGGGTGGGTTTTCCAACAGGTCTAGAGCAAGTGGCAAGCTCCCCGTATAGCATGTACTTGGGGATTCGGCCGTCGTCCATACGTCTGACATGGCCAAGCCAGCACAATCGACGCTGAGTGAGCAGCGCAAACATGCTTGGGATGTTTGCCTGGTCTAGGACGTTCTTGTTTGGGATGCGGTCTTGCCAAGTGATGCCAAGAATCCTTCTGAGGTTGCGCAGGTGGAAGGTGTTGAGTCTGTGCTCTTGGCGGGAATAGAGGGTCCATGCTTCGCTGCCGTAGAGCAGTGTGCTGAGCACGCACGCTCGATACACCTGCATATTGGTGTTGATGGTAAGCATGGTGTTGTTCCACACCCTCTTTGCTAAGCGAGCCATGGCTGTTATGGCTTTTCCAATCCGCTTGTCGAGCTCAATATCTAGGTAGAGATTTCTGGAGATGGTGGAGCCGAGGTAGGTGAATTCTTCCACCACCTCGAGGGTGAAGTCGCCAATGGAGATGTTTGGAGTGCTGCTCACATCTTGTCTGAGTATGTTGGACTTCTTAAGGCTAATGGTCAAGCCGAACTCCCTGCATGCATGAGCAAAGCAGTTGATGAGTCGCTGTAAGGCCTCCTCGGAGTGTGCCGTCAAGGCTGCATCGTCAGCGAAGACCATCTCTCTTTTATGAGTATGTGCCGCACTTTGGTCTTTGCTCTGAGGCGGGCAAGGTTGAACAGACCACCATCGCTTCTGGTGTGGAGATATACTCCGTCTTCTGACTGGCTGAAGGCATAGGACAGTAGCAGGGTCCTGGGAGAAGAAGACTCCAAAGAGTGTTGGAGCAAGAACGCAGCCTTGCTTCACTCCGCTTTTGATTGGGAAAGTGTCCGAGGCCGAGCCGTCATACTGAACGGTTCCTTGCATGACTGTAGTTGATGTAGGCCTGCCAACTGCGATTCTCAAACTGAGCTAGATTCCGTGATTTTTGGAGATAGATTGTTCCATGGATTACCCTGGGATAAAAAGAGTACCCGCACATGAGGTTGCTGTAATGGCATTTGTTGGTATTAAGAGTGGTAACGACCTGAAGCTCTTGTAATTGGACAATTAGCTCCGGTAGTTGATGTGACCACGTAAACTTCTGCTGGGTACTGTATGTTTACAAATCCTTTAAGGATTTCAAAGATGCTAATGCTTGGGCAAGTAGGTACTCGTTTTCATAGACCTTACCCAACTGTAGCAGAAGGGATGTGGCGCTTGTGGCATGTCTGTAGTCTCCACATACAAATATGGCCACCCTTCGCTGTATATTTTGTTATTGTTTATACATTTCGGTATGCGGGCTCCAGGCTGAGGAAGTAGTTTATTCTAGTTTGAGACGTACAATGGATAAATAATCATTGGCATGTTTAGAACAAGGTACCAGTGCTCGAGTGACAACCCCTAGAGTAGAGCTTGCATTGTTGAATATGTCATAGCAGTGCTCGTTAAAACGTAATTTTCATCTATGGTGAGACCAAAGGATGGAATAGTACCGTTAAAACCATGATTGAAGCTGCTTGCAGTTCTTTCCCTATAGTGATCGATAGAGATGGCATTTCGAGACGTTGACGGCGATTTGCCACGTTTTTACCCACATGGAGAATTTGTTTAGATCATTTTGAAGAATTTGGTCTCAGGAGGATTGATCTCAAGATAGATAATATTGTCATCAGCTAATAGGCGAATCTGAGAGGCGATGGCTTCTGCAATGTAATTAATGAATAGGAGGAAAAATTCAGCACGCTGCTTTGTGGAATTCCGCATGTTACCTCTACTGGCTCACTGTGAGTGTCTTGTAACGGATTCCACCGAAAAACGGTGTACAGACATCTCAAGTGTCACCCGGACTCACCGGGATCGTCCCGGTGAAGAGCTCTGATCCAGCCCAAGGTGTAGTTTTTAATTTTGTAGTATTTTTAAGTCAATAAGTAGGTTGCGGTGAGCAACAACATCGAAGGCCTTGTTGCAGTCTGGGAGTCAAACATCAATTTGCCTTGCGGCGTTCATTGATTTAGTCCAGTCGAGCTTCTAAAGACGAAACCTCATATGAGGGTTTGCTTCTGAAGATATGTTGTTTGTCTGTCAGGATATTATTTGCTGCCAGATGTTTTAAAATGTGTTGGGGCATGACGTGTTCCGTTACCTCACAGCAAAGGCATGTTAAGAAATTGACGGTAGTTGGCTGGTGACGTTTTTATCCCTTTATTAAATACTGGGTTGTGTATAGAGCATCAGTTCAATTGTTAGGAATGGTTCCTCTATCACATAATGATTGCGGAAAGATAAAAGTCAGCATTTACGAGATACCTTCACTATGCCGTACCCAGTAGATAGTTTATTAGGGACACAATCTTTGCGGGTGTTCATAAGAAGCTGTTGCTCTGTTGCACCAGTGGTTTCAATGCGAAGAGTACTAATCGCTTTGAAGGAAGATGGTGCCTTGTTTGGGATGAGCGCAATTTTTTGCTGTAACAACAGGCTTAAAACGGGCGTTGAGGGCCATACGGTGAGATTCCAATACGGTGCCGTTTCTAAGTGTTTAAGGGTAAACACTAAGAGTGTAAGGGGAACCAACTAGGCGATCTGTATTCCATACTTGGAAGAACCATAGAAATAACATATACCAGTTATGCTAGATATTATATGTACACACAGAAACATAGTCTTCTAAATGTTTTTACATCAAATATATGTATCATCATGTCAATATTATCATGTATAAATCAAGATTAACTATGATTGGCTGTAAAAATAATGGATAAGAGATAGAGAGAGAGAGAGAGAGAGAGAGAGAGAGAGAGAGAGAGAGAGAGAGAGATGCGGGAGGTGGGGGAGAGATTGATATCATCAGAAGTAGATAATAGGGAACAATCATTAGGGGACAATCATTTTTTTCAGTTTTCTGTAAATTAGTCTAGTAAAATTATATTGAAGTACTTTTATGAGAAAACTAGTACAGTATCTAACGCGCAACTACATATTAAATCATGTCTAACTAAAAATATTCAATTAAATAAACTGTAATATCAGATGAACTGTAATAATGGGATTTAATAAAAAATTAATGTAGTTATACCATGTTGTAAATAAATGATAGTTTTCTTACACCAAACTGTTTATTTTACACTGACGATTATTAAACAGTTATAAGATATTTAATAAAAAATATAATCAAAGGGTAAAAAATCCTCGATCCAACAGGACATTGAAACTTTCCTTCAAACTGGAGCGCCGTGAAATTATTGTTCTATCCACCCAAATAAATGTCAGAAATCATGCCGAAAACCCAGCTCCATATAACCTCAAAGAATATTCTTCACGGTCCAAGAAACAGTAACGAGGAAATATAGGCACTAATTAATGTGGGTCAAATTAACAGATCAACACTGCGGATTGCACTACAAGTTTACATTCTACTATTACATACATTTATAACATACATTCGCATCTCTGATATCGTATATAGATTATATCAGGAGTGGATAATAGATCTATATTATCCACTCTTTTTTATATTATAAATCGAAAATATTAATATAATAATATATATTATAAATATAACCGCACTTCGCAATCCCGCGTGCTTGGATATCGATAGATGAATTAAAACAATGGCAGGATACAATATGCGACGTCACAGTGCATGGTTACCAAAGATCGTAGAGTGCCGTGGGCACAAGATAAACCACTCTCCAATAATAGCGTAGTAGGTCATGGGTCGCCACAACCGCCATTTTAGGAAGCAAGTTCACATGAAGTTCCCGGATGCTGCTGTATCTGCTACTGTGCAACTGTCTGCTGTGTGCTGTCAGCTCAGCTTACTGTGCTGCTGTAAATTGCTCGAATTGTCAGTGTAAGCCCGACCTGTCTTTCTTCAGGTTCCCCAAGAATACGGAAAGGTGAGAAAACATTCTTTTTTGTCGAAATCCATCGTGAAAGAGTTGTGCAATGAACAAACTAAGGACATCTCGAGGAAGCGCCATGAAGACATCGTGGGCCGCGTGAGTATATAAACTATACACACTTGTCGAGTTGTTTATTTGAATTTCATAATCATTGAATATTTCAAAATACAAATAATAGCGTAGTAGGTCATGGGTCGCCACAACCGCCATTTTAGGAAGCAAGTTCACATGAAGTTCCCGGATGCTGCTGTATCTGCTACTGTGCAACTGTCTGCTGTGTGCTGTCAGCTCAGCTTACTGTGCTGCTGTAAATTGCTCGAATTGTCAGTGTAAGCCCGACCTGTCTTTCTTCAGGTTCCCCAAGAATACGGAAAGGTGAGAAAACATTCTTTTTTGTCGAAATCCATCGTGAAAGAGTTGTGCAATGAACAAACTAAGGACATCTCGAGGAAGCGCCATGAAGACATCGTGGGCCGCGTGAGTATATAAACTATACACACTTGTCGAGTTGTTTATTTGAATTTCATAATCATTGAATATTTCAAAATACAATTTCGGCAATGGACTTTGTTCTCACTAGATCTATTACTATTACTAGTATTAGTATTAGGCTACTTTTACTGTCACGCAAATTGCTAATTTAATTACATTCACGCTATGAGATCCTAGTAATTATGTTTATTTTCGCGCAGGTGTTCAAACAGATGCAAGAATGCGATGGTGACGTAGGGGGAAAGGAGCGAGTATGCGCTATCAGCAGCGGTACGAGCGTCTGAAAATCAAGCCGATATCCGAGAAGCTGACCCGACTGGAAAGATATTTGCCGCAAATCCTCGCGACTTGGTAAGTATAAATATGAAAGTGAGTGCATGCACGCGCTCGTGTGACTGCGCATGTGTGTATGCGTATGCGTGAGTAATCAAGCTTGATTCCTCTCGATTGTTTGCATACATTTTCAGCTAATTATTCTTCTAGTTACTGGCGATCTCGTGGAGCTTACATAGGTTGGCAACAGTGACCATGCTATCAACTTACGTACATGTATGCTTAATCGTATTTCTTGTGTGCCGCCCTTATTAGAGAGATAAAACGGCAAGGTGAAACTATCGCCGCACACACGCACACGGACTGGCGCGCACGAACGCACACCAACGCACGTAGGCGCGCACGCGAGAACGCACGCGCATACGCACACACGCACACTACACGCATATATTTATGTTTACTTCCAGCTAGCAAAGCCTCGAGGATTCCTGAAGTCGGGGCACCTTTCCTGATGTCAGCATGATTTTAGACGCTCGTAGCGCTGCCGATAGCGTGTACTCATCTCCTGCACAACGTTCCTAGAAGCGTAAGTGGTTCCCTAGTATTTTAAACGAGTGATTCAGTATCTTGTAAATGTCTAGACGAGCGGCTACAACCCTTTGTAAAATCGGTAATAATGCCGAGTGCAAGTGAGTATGAAAACTTTAGCTAATCGACTGTGAACTCATGCATACTTACGCTCTCTCCATCACAGTAAAACCAGGGTAAAACCCACGCGAAAACGCACTGACTTGAGAGAACCAACTGAAGGTTACAACGTCACACCAGGCCACGAAGAAGTTATGCAAAGAAGTTGGATACCAACGATCGCGTCGCTTTTCTCAACGGAAGGTCAGTGAGAACACATTCTCTCACAAACCCTACCTTTGCTCACAGTAACGTTTACTGAACGTCAACAGCTAACTACTAAAGTGAATAGAACTGAAGCTCACATCCATATAAGATTCATTCGATGCCACCATCGGTACACGTCATTACTGTCGAAGAATCGCGTGATAAAATATAAATTACTGAATTTCGTTTCTATTTATTACTTTGCTAATTAAGCTCTTGATATTTCCAATTGCTAGGAAATGCGCTTTAGTACGTAGAAGATGGAAAGGACGTGACTACAGACGCGTCCACACAGACGAAGAAATGTGAACCTGCTTGAATACGCACTGAGGGTGGCTCAGAAAATAAAACGAAATAATTAACCACGTTTATTCCGTGTATAAATTTCAAGAATTAATTTAATAAATAAAATGAGCTTTGTTACGTAACAATTAATCCTGGCTAGCGATGTATTCCTGAACGTAAGCCGCATTTACACTACATATCCTCACTTCGGTGTTATTTCTTTGAGTTTTACGCTTGTGGATTCCAATGGCTAACACAGTTGTCCGATTGGATAATCAATTTTAAACAAAGAGCTATTATATCCATACGTAGGTGATACCAGCGACCAATTCTACCCATCGTCTATTATCTTTCCTACCGTTATAATTGTGATTATTAATATCACTATTATTGCCAGTTGTGTTATTTTAGTACCCTTGCCATTTTCCTCCATAGCATTTATATTAGCGGAAAGTCAGATGTCGTGACTGAAAATATTTTTAGCCCAAGACTCTACTGGGAATCCAACTTAACTACCGACGCCAAGAATGGTTAGAAGGCCTGCAGTCTGAGAGGGGTTCTGCATTCCAGGATGACATTCGCGCACACACAAGCTATCACGCATGCACGTACCTGGCTGTCAGGATAAGACCGCACAGAAACACACAGCGATAACGTTTGAGATAATATAGGGCCTCCCGTCATGAATCAGTAGCATACAGGGGTAAAAATTTAGTTTTGAACAAGGGAGTCCAACGGACTCCCTACCCTCAATAAGAGGGAGTCCGCAGCAAAATGAGGGAGTCCGCAGTCTGAGGTTCAAAATTAAAGATATTAACAATAACGCATGTGCTTATTTTTAAGATTCATGCAGTTCACGTCTGCCAAATTTTCTTTGAAAAAATACAGTAATTGTGCGAGGGCGTGCTCCGGAACGAACTAGTTAGTATCGCAGAATTTTCTGGGAGTCACACGGACTCCTGCATATGTCAAATCAGGGAGTCCGGCAGTAAATCAGGAAGTATTTGACTCCGGACTCCCGTTAATTTCTCACCCTGGCATATATTCTAGAAACTAATCCCACAACCGCACCTGTTATATCAACCGAAACTGCGACACCTTGTGTGGTTTGCCGCTGTTTTCTCGATCGCAGATCATGGCATCATGACCTCCGTCTTCGCTATAGTCCCCACAGACCCCACTACCTTTGAAGACTAACATTTATGAGACTATGGGGTTATCATGGAAAATACGCGGCGGTGGTCGTGGTGCAGCGGTCGACTTGGCAAGTGGTATGACCCCCCCC